CTGCTAAAATACTTGGGGCACCATTGAACTAACCTCATAAAAATGCAAGTTGCCTCAGAGAGAGAGGATTTTGAAGGGTTCTGAATAAGGATTTGGGTGTGCAGAGCACATGACATCTACTTTGGTAAATCAGAGACTTTTTTTTTTTTTTGAGTTGGATCTCATTCTGTCACCCAGACTGGAGTGCAGTGGCACACTCATGGCCACCCCAGTGTCGACCTGCTGGGCTCAGGCAACCCTTCTGCCTCAGCCTTCCAAGTAGCTGGAACCACAGGCATGCTACCATGCCCAGTTAATTTTTTTTCTTTTTTTTATTATAGAGACGAGGTCTCACCAAATTGGCTGGGCTGGTCTTCAACCCCTAGGCTCAGGCAATCCTCTCGCCTTGGCCTCCCAAAGAGCTAGGATTATAGGCTTGAGCCACCTTGCCCGGCCGAGACCTCTTTCTTAGGTTAGACATTTTAGTTATGCTCCAAACAGTCTGTAAGGAAGTGACTGCTGAGTTGTTCCTGTATTTGTGTTTGACATGAAAGAGCATCTAGCACCAGATCTGGAACTCCATAGATCCTCAATGTATAGCTGGATGTATATCTATCTCTTTAAAAAATTTTATTTTATTTTTAAATTGTGGGGTACAAATGTGGGTTAGGTACATACATGGTGATCATACAGGTAAAGTGTGGGTACCCTTATTGATGTTATGTGCCCCCCTCCCTTGGCAATGTCCCACTACTGCCAATCCCTTTCTTATAGTATTATGATAAATGTTCAGGGTCCACTTATGAATGAGTACATGTGGTACTCAGGTCTTTGTTTCTGTGATAAATCACTGATTATTATAGACTCTAATTCCATCCAGGTTGCTGCAAAGTTCATAATTTTGTTTTTCTTTATGGCTGCATAACATTCCATCGTGTGAATGTACCCCATTTTCTTTATCCAGTCTACTTTTGACGGGCAGCACGGACGGGTCCATGTTTTTGCTACTGTGAATAATGCTGCAATAAATACGTGCGTGCAGGTATCTTTATTATAGATTGAGTTCCTCCGGGTATATTCCCAGAAGGGGGATTGCTGGGTCATATAAAAGGTCGATTTTCAGATTTTTTAGAAATCGCCATGGTTTTCCATAGAGATTGTACTAGTTTATATTCCCACCAACAGTGTAGGAGTTTTCCCTTTTCCCCACATCTTTTCCAGCATCTGTTGTTTTTTGAGTTATTGATGATGGCCACCCTGACGAGTTAGGTGGTATCTCAGTGTGGTTTTAATCTGCATTTCTTTGATGATTACCAAAGAAATGAAAGATCTTTACAGTGAAAACTACAAAACACTGCTCAAAGAAATCCAAGAAGACATAAACAAATGGAAAAATATTCCATGCTCATGGATTGGAAGAATTAACATTGTTAAGATGCCCATCCTACTAAAGGCAATTTACAGATTTAATGCGATAGGTATTCAATTACCAACATCATTCTCAGACCTGGAAATGACAATATAGAAACTCATATGGAAACATAAAAGACCACAAATATCCAAAACAATCCTTAGTAAAAGAAACAAAGTGGGAGGTATCACATTTCCAGACTTCAAACTCTACTATAAAGCTACAATAATCAAATCAGCCTGATACTGGTACAAGATCAGGCATATAGACCAATGAAACAGGAGAGAGATCCCGGAAGCAAAACATCAATTTATCTATCCCTTTCTATATAAATATTGCATTTTTTTGTTCACACAGACAAAAAAGGGGCCTGAAGGATACACACCAAATGATTAATCCTGTCTAGGAAGTAGATTGTGAAGAAAGTAAGAAATTAAAAAAGGGCTTTTTAATTTTGCTTCACCCCTTTCTGTAATAATGCTTTAGATCATGCTTTACTTATTAATTTAAATTACCGTTGAGGTCTCACTCTGTTGCCCAGGCTGGAGTGCAGTTGCATGATTATGGCTCACCACAGCCTTTCCTGCTGGGAACAGGTGATCCTTCTGCCTCCTCCTCCTAAGTAGCTGGGACTCCAAGAGCAGGCCCAGCTAATTTCTTCATTTTATGTAGTGACGAGGTCTCGCTATTTGCCTAAGCTGGTCTCCAACTCCTTGGCTCAAGCGATCCTCCTACCTCAGCCTCCCAGAGTGCTGAGATTACAAGTGTGAGCTACCTGTATCTGGCCTAGATCATTCTTGAATTATTAATACAGTTGGCCTTCTGTATCCGCAGGTTTGGCATAATTCAAACAATCATGGATGGAAAACAATCAGGAGAAAACCAAAATATACAAAATAATACAAAAACATAGTATATAAACTATTACATAGACTTTACATTGTATTAGGTACTAGGAGTAATCTAGAGTTGATTTAAAGCATATGGGAGACATTTGTAATCCCAGCACTTTGGGAAGCCAAGGTGGGAGGATCACTTGAGCCCAGGAGTTCGAGATCACCCTGGGCAACATAGCAAGACCTTGTTGCTACAAAAAAAAAAAAAAAAAAAAAGAAGGCGTGGTGGCACACACCTGTAGTTCCAGCTACTCTGGTAGCTGAGACAGGATTGTCTGAGTCTAGGAGGTGGATGCTGTGGTGGGCCATGAGTGTGCTGCTGCACTGCAGCCTGGGTTAGTGTGAGATCCTGGCTAAAAAAAAAAAAAAAAAAAAAAAAAAAAGGACAAGGAAGGATATGCATAGGTTATATGCAAATAAGTTTATCTTATGTGGGGGACTTGAGAATCTGTGGATTTTATTATGCACTGGGGTCCTGGAACCACTCTCTCTTGGATACCAAGGGGTGACTGTTAAACTTATACTTGGATCTGTGTGTGTGCAAAATGACAATGCAAGCACAATAGATAATTTCCACCCTGTGTACTTGGGATGCGTGTTCTCACTGGGTACTTGTCCGTCACATGGGACTGTGTCATTTTTGTCGCAAGAAATGCTCAAAGCACTTTCCACTGTAAAAAGCTGCTCAGCATACTAACTGCCTCTTTTTTTCCCTCCCTCATGTCACCGCTCAGTCCCATGGTTTTAAGTCATGCTTCAGAGTACACCCGTAGAGCTTCTCCTGTCCTGCTTGCAGTTGTTGTCTTCTTGATTCATGACATCTCACCTCCTGTGAAAATGGCAGCACACACCTTGCCAGAGGCTATAGGCGTTGTGATGAGCGGCTGCATCCTGGACCCACCAGTGGCTTTATATTTCCCATGAATACTTAGTTCCAAAGGGGAAACTCTCTAAAAGGTTCAACCTATTGTGGGTCCAAGTCTATGGCCATAAAAGTTAGACAATGTCATACTTTGCAGACTTTGACTTCTTTTTTTTTTTTTTTTTTTTTTTTTTTTTGAGTGTGTTTCTTACACTGTCTCCCAGGCTGGAGTGCAGTCGCACAATCACGGCTTGCCACAGCTTCAAACTCCTGGGCTCAGGTGATCTTTCCACCTCAGCCTCCCGAGTAAATGGGACTACAGGTGTACACCACCATGCCTGGCTAAGTTTTCTGATTTTTTTTTTAGAGATGAGGTCTTGCTATATTGCCCAGGCTGGCCTTGAACTCCTGGGCTCAAGCAATCCTTCTGCCTCTGCCTCCCAAAGTGTTGGGGTTACAGGCATGAGGCACTGTGCCCGGCCTGACTTCTCTTTTTTAAAGAGTTAATACCCATTTTCTGGCTTGCAGACTTGACTTTGATTCAGTTTTCACTTCTCTATTTATCCATGCATCATTGAATTGCACAGCTAGAAGAATTAAGTGCTGACTTTCAGTTGTGTAAAAGTAAAAAAAATCCTATCTATGTACAGTACATCATGTCTTAGATTAGTACACGATCGCAGATTTCCTTAGTCTTTTATCATTAGCCAATATCACATTTATTCAACAAAATATTTAACAAAATATTAGGTAATTCTAGATTCTTTATGACGATCTGAAGAACTCAGAATGCTGGGTATTACTAAGTTGGACGATTTCCCTGGACCCTCAATACCCAAATTACAGCATAGTCTCTGATGAAAACAGTCTATGTTCAATCACGTTTCATTTTTTTTTTTTTTTGAGTCAGAGTATCACTGTGTCGTCCAGGCTGGAGTGCAGTGGTATGCTCACAGCTCACTGCAGCCTCAACATCCTGGGCTCAGGCAATCCTCCCGTCTCAGCCTTGCAAGTAGCTGGGACTACAGGTGCGTGCCATCACACCTGACTTAGTTTTTTTATTTTTTGTAGAGACAAGGGCTTGCTATGTTGCCCAGGCTGGTCTTGAACTCCTGGGCTCAAGCAATTCTTCCACCTTGGTCTAACAAAGTGCTGGGATTACAGGCATGAGCTGCCATGCCTGGCCCTTAATTTACTTTATAAATTAAGAAGGAAATTTACCCAGGACTTTCTCTGGATAGCCAATATGGCAACTGACAAGGATTCAGGCTTACTGATGGATTACTAGGCATGAGATGCTAATGTTATTCAGCATAAAGCTTCATGGGAAGATTTGTGGCATAAGAAAGAAATGGCTGAAAGGCAGGAGCCTGGGGTGCTAGTCCTAGCCCTTCCACTGGCTGTAGGTGGTGAGTTATTTCACCTCTCTGGATCTCACTTTCCTCATCTTTAAAATATGAGAATAGAACAAGATGTCCTACAAGTCCCTTTTAGCCCTAACATCTCATTTTTTAGTATGTTAAATTTGCCTAACAGAAACCAACAATATGTTTAGTATTTTTTGCTGAATCCAGAATATCCATAAAAAACATCTCATTAACAGTCACAGCATTCACAGAAGAAAACAAAAAAGCTATTATCTTTTTATGCATATGAGTCATGAACCAGGACAGCAACTTGCAAAAGGTCACAAAACTGTGGCATTGTGAGAACAATGATTCTGATTTCTTGATTATGACTGCAGTATTCTGTTCACTATCTTTGTTGCTGTTTTGTTATATGTGAAAAGCAATGTGCTTAACCTTTCTCACCTCCAATTAGCCAATTTGCTCCCTAATGTACTCAGACTCACCCTGCTCCATTTTTACTGCCTGAAGTCTTCAGAACATTCTCTTTCCTTTTCAATACTAGCATTAGGATAACAACCAATGATACTTTCAAATTTGTCTCCTAAGGACATGCCTCAGGGTTCCAGGTGCAGTATTTGTCTCACTTTCTATATAATTTCTATTAATTTTCTACATAAATTTTAACCACATAAAGACTGTCACTACCACTTCTACATTTGTCAATGTCTGCTTGAAGCCTGTACCTTTAAACAGACCCAAAATGCCCAAGCTTCAAGTGGCTGAAAAAGACCCCAGAGATTTCTTTGTATTATTTGCTATAATGGTTTTGGACCTTCCCCCTTCGTTCCCTTTTAGGACTACCAAACTCCTAATCCTTGAAACCAGTGAATGAAATTAGTTTCCCAAGTTCTCTAAAGACATTGGCTTGAATATTCATTCTGCATTTTCCCACTCCTGACTTTGCTGCGCAGAATATCCTGTCCTAACTGGTCTCCAGATCTAAGCTCTATCAGTAAACTGTCTGGCCAGAACCTCAACCAAGCCCCTTTGCTTCCATCTCCTCTGCACACATTTTCAGACTTGTCCCTAAAACTGGCAGATGTAGAAACACACCTACTATGAATTCAACACATACAAGTGAGAGGCTGCACTCTATTCCCTGTACCCAGGGAAGAAAGGCTGAGGGTGCAAACTGGAAGTGAGTTCCAACTGGAAGTGAATGGCAGGAGTGAGGGAGGCACTACTTACCTAATACTAGGCATTCTCTTCTCACTGTCTCTCAGGGACTCGATCTATCCCAGAAAAGATTTAGCAGAAAACTGGAGAAACTGCACCACTTTCTTATGCACAATCTGCCATGGGCTCATATTCAGCCAGTACTCTTGTGGCCTCCCAGCTTGTTAAATACTAAAATTCTTCTTACCATATGGCAAATTATGCCCTTAGACCCCTCCTAACCCTGCCGCCCAGTGTCTTAGCCAGGTGCCCCACTGACCCATCAATTAGCAGGTTAATGACTGACCCCGAAAGGGCTCACAGGTTCCCTCTCTAGCACAGTAACCAGAAGGCACAACTTTGGGGGACTGATTGCATGAATGCTGGCCAGTCCAAATAGAAGCTGGTTACTGGAGGCCCAGGCAGGAGGAATACATGAGGCCAGGAGTTCAAGGCCAGTCTGGGCAATATAGGGAGACTGTGACTCCACACACACACACAAAAAAAAAATTAATTACATTTCACCACAACTTCCTTAGGTGTTTCCAACTTGTAGCCGATCTTGCCATAATGATAAATAAAACTCTTCTAGAGTTGAAAAATGCATCTATAAATTCAATGACAGTGTTTAACTGGTGATAACATGGTATCATAAAAAACAAGCATAGAAATACTGTTTTCCTTTTGATTAAGGAAAAGGCAAAAACATCTCTAGAAAATACCCAGGAAAGTATACAATATTCTATTACCAGTTCAAAGCTTCCATGTTATGCAGGCAAAAATCTCTGGAGCCTCCTAATGTTTTTGCTTTAAGTAGCTTTTGTAGGTAAGCTTACACCTCATTAATGCAATGGTTTTATGACTAAAGGACATATTAAGAGTTAAAATATTTTCCAGAGCTGAGGTAAAATCCCATATTCAGTATTTAATGTATTAAAAGATTCACCAAGTAATATCCTTCTTGGCATTAAAAAACTGCTAGCATTTGCAGTTTTCAATCCTTTTATATTACAGAAATTCGTGATGTGTCTTTGTCATGTAGTTTTATGTCTTCATTTTCCTTATCAGATATCTAGAACTAAGAGAAATTCAAACAATCTTTTTTTTCTTTGAGTTGGAGTCTCACTCTTTGCTGCCCAGGTTGGAGCGCCATGGCACGCTCACTGCCACTGCAGCCTTGTACTGCAGGGCTCAGGTGATCCTTCTGCCTCAGCCTTCCAAGTAGCTGGAACTACAGACACACACCACCATGCCTGGCTAGTTTTTGTGATTTATTGTATAGACAAGGTCTCACCAAGTTGCCCAGTCTGGTCTCAAACCCCCGGGCTCAGGCAATCCTCAGACCTCAGCCTTCCTAAGTGCTGGGATTAAAGACTGAGCCATTGCTCCTGGCCCAAACAATCTTTTTTAAAAAAGACACTGCCAGATTACTTTTAGGACACCACAAATATATCGACAGAGTGTTCTGAAATTTATGTAAATATCTAGGATCTAGAACAAAACAGCTGGTAGAACTCATATCCATCAATGAATTTTATAAATCTCTGAAATTAGCCCTTGCCTGCCTCATTGTTAACTGGGAATTCCCAAGGATTTCTCTCTTTTGTCCATTAGATCATCTTTTCAAATCCATTCTCAAAGGACTGTTCACCTGCAATTCTGGCTACTTGGAAAGCTGAGGCGGAAGGATCGCTGGGGCCCCGCAGGTTGACGCTGGAGTGGCCGTGAGCGTGCCACTCACTGTCCTCCAGCCTAGGCGACAGAGTGAGACTCCAACTCAAAAAAAAAAAAAAGAACAAGTCAATAAACATATCCCCTTTTTAAAAATGTTACAACCAACTCTGAATTGATCATATGTTTTTCATACCATCATACTCATAATCAAACAGTATATAATAAATCACTCACTGAGAGATAACACTTGGACAAAAATGATACATAAAGATAATAACTACAGTAATGACAAATTTAGCTTTTACTACTATGCCAGGTAATCATTGCTTCTTCTATTGGAAAGGAAAAATATAAATTTTAATTTTGTTTATTGGTATATTTTTGAATGCGAATATTTTTAAAATAATATATGACTTCCATTTTCTAAGTCTAGCCTGCTTATCTTTATTTTTTGTGTCAGAATTCATTACTAATGTACCAATGTTAATAACCAAAGAAATAAATAACAATGATGATAAATCTACTAATGGATACTGAACATTTCCTCTGTGTGCAAATGCTTTTTATGTAATAGTTCATTTAATCCTTATACTCATCCAATGAGTAAGTTATTAATCAAGCTGACTTACTGCCATCATCACACTGCATGTTTCAATCATTTATTTACTTTTGAAATCTAAGACATCTTTTGAGAATGAGTAATATTTCCACCAGCTAATGCTGTTGAAAATGTAAACTGGTACAACCACCTTGGAAAACAGTTTGATGGTTTCTTAAATAATCAAAAATACACCTTTTATTCAACACAGCCATTTCATTCCTGGATATTTACCCAAGAAAAAGACAACACGTCCACACAAAGACTTGTACAGGGCCGTTCATGGCAGCTTTCTTTGTAATCGCCAAACTTGAGTTGTAATTTGGAAAAAACCCAAATGTCCATAAACAGGTGAATGGCTTTAAAACATGTGATACATCCACACAATTATAGACCACTTAGATAACTGGGTAATTAATATAATTTTATTAAAAATGTTTCACTGGTACATGCAACAGAATGGATAAATCTTAAATCATTTTGCTGAGTGAAAGAAGACAGACACAAAAGAGCACATACTGTGTGATTTAAGTTACATGAAATTTGAAAAGACTTAATCTACTAGAAGAGAAAGTAGATCAATGGTGACCTGAAGACTGTGTATGTGTATTGCAAAGGGACAAAAGGAAACTTTTGAGAGTGATGGAAATAATCAGTATCTTAATTGACAGTTGCATGCATGTATACATTTGTGAAAACTTATCAAATTATATACTTTAAATATGTGCAGTCGGTTGCATGTAAATTATACCTTAATAAAAAGTTGTAAAAAAAAGTCAATATCTATCCTTTAGCTACCTTTTCCCTTAAATTTTTATTCTATAGCTATTTTTCCAAACTTTTTGGATCTGTCTTATTTATTTTGCTGTGTGTGTGTGTGTTTTAAAAAATAAATTAGGAGTTGGATGTGGTGGCTAATGCCTGTAATCACAGCACTTTGCCAGCATTTATTAAACGTCTGCTGTGTTCCAGGCACTGTGCCTGACACTCTTCCCGGATTACCTACATTAATCCTTCAGATATATGCACTAGTTCTCATTTTACACATGGGAAAAGAGAGACTCAGAGGGGCTAGTATGGCAGAACTTGAATTTGAATCCAGACTTCCCAACACCAACACCCTTTTCGTTAAGCTACACTGCCTGATGACTCTACATTATGCCAGGATAACCAGCCGGGCCTATGACCATATCCCTGGCAGCAGTGGTAAGAACTTCATGAGGAACAAGATGTGGGAATAATGAAACAGAAGAACTCATTCATTCAGTCAATAATTACTAAAGACCAACAATATTTCAGACATTATTTTAGGTGGTAGGAAAACAACAGTGAAGAGTAGCTAAATTTAAGCTTCCACATTTTAGCTATTCTTGTATTTAATTAGGAACCAAAGACATTCTTTAGACTCATTCACATATAGCTTACTAAAACAATACTGTCAGTAAATTATTACATTCACTTGCGTGCTATTTTCCTCATTACAGTATAATCATTTAATACCGTGTTACAAAATACATAATAATTTTATATATAATTATTTAATACTATTTATAAAACAGTTTTATACTGCTTATAAAACAGTATGTATACATATAATCATTTAATACTGCTTTATAAAATACATAACATGCCAGCGCTTCAGTTTTAGGAATAAAATTTTTGATTTTTCAAAGTAAGCTAGTTCCTTCAAGAATCCAAGTATTTATTTTGGCTGGACAATAGCGGTTGCCCTGACAACAAACTCACTTCTGAGACAGGTTAACAAATACCTTGTGAACAGGGGAGAGGTGATTCATTCTCCATGTCTATGCATTTTGCATTTCCTTTTCATTACATATGACAGGATGCAGTTCTCACAATATAAGAAGGAGGCTGTTCTTTGAACTTCACCTTCAGGTTAAATAAACAAACACAGATTGAATTAACTCCTTCCTTCTAGGAATATATATTTTAAGGTTTAGTTTGTTCAAGGAAAAATTTTAAATTTAAGACAACTAATTCCCATTATCTATAAGCCAAATGGCTAGGTGCTACAGGGTATAAAATATGAATGAGACCTACTCCCTAATATCAAGGGGTTTATCCAGTAGTGGGAACATCAGAGGTTTACATAAGTAACTGGCAGAACAATTATATGAGTCATTGGAAGCTGCCTGGGAACCCAACTCATATACAACATTATTTGTACCAAGATCTAAAAAAATCACCATTTATTCTTCAGAAACACTCATCGCTTATGAGTTGGAGACCATTTGCATTGAGTTTATTCATTCATTTTCATCAGTAAACCAAATTTAATGTCAAGCAAGAGAAACTTCTAATTTCTCTTTTGGCCTTAAAATGGCAAATTTGAAAGATGTGACTTCTTACCCAAATAAGAAAAGGAAAAGAGAACAGAGTTAAGCACATGCAAAGGAAAAAACACTACACATCTGTTAAATATAAATATATCCCATGGATGTTTCTTCCATCTCCTAACCAATCACTAAATCACTTCAATAAGTTATTTCTATAAATTCAGTCTTTTCTTCTACACATCCAATTACCTACAGCAGGAACCAAAACATATTTTTATGTAACAATACAGAGATACCCTGCAAACAGTAGGTGATTATTAGCATTCCAGTCCAAATGAGTAGCCAATCTAAACCTGTGGATTCATGTAACTGAGAATACTTACCTCCCATTGTCTCACAGAATGCAACATTTCAAGGGGAAACCTGACCACAACTAGCAATGTTGACAACTATATCCATAAACAGGATACTGGCCAATGACAGGATGAAATATTAAAATATCCAGCTACTATACCATTAAAACAATAGGGACAGCTTTGAAAGATGGAATGTTTCTCAACCCTAGAAATAATTTTATTCTTTTTTAAACAAACCTGTTTCAGGACTTCTTCAGTAATTGCCTTAAGATTAAAAATATTAAGTCTCTTCCTCTTGAATATATTTTTTTCTAAAACTAAAAAAACCTAATGAATATATTATCAACTGTCAACAAAAAATTATGTGAAAAAAATTTTACATGAAATAATCTACATGGAAATTAAAAATAATTCCACTGACCCTAATCAGACATTTTAAATTGCCACATTTTTTAGGTTTGATGACTTAAAAACAGGAACATATGCACTTGAATTTCTGCTTCACAATACAACAGACCACCTAAAGTAAGTTAATTTCCAAAATACTTAATTGAAAAGATTAGCTTAATTTGCCATGATTTTATCCAATTTCTTTCATATTAAGGTTTTAGAAAACTCAATGTCGTGAAAAGCTATAAAAATAACACAAATAAAACCTGTTGAAGTCAATATTTGTATTTAGGACAGAAAAAACTGCAATGCTTCATTATATATTATAATTTATAATAATAAAACATCCCCTTTTGGAAAGCAATTTAAAAATAATTATTAACTTTTTAATATGACTTTTTAATCAACTACTGAATTTAATGTCAAATAGTTAATAGGTAACATTTACTTTCTTTTTTTTTTTTTTTGAGAAAGGATCTCACTCTCTTGCACAGATTACAGTGCAGTGCAGAGGTGTGATCAGCTCACTACAACCTAAACCTCCCGGCCTCAAGCAATCCTCTTGCCTTAGCCTCTGGAGTAGCTGTGACTACAGGCCCATACCACCAAGCTTGGGTGATTTTTTTTTTCTTTCCATTTTTTTGTAGAGACAATGTCTCCTTATGTTGCCCAGATTGGTCTTGAACTTCTGGCTTCAAATGATCTTCCTACATTGGCCTCCCAAAGTGCTCAGATTACAGATGAATAAGCAGTATTTTCTTGTATAGTTGATAATCAATTGCTTTATATATCAAATCACATACTTAGATGAGTAAATATGCTGGCAAATTAAAGTCTAGTTTATAAACTGGAGGGTTAATTTTTTTAATGATGCCTAATTCTTCTGTTATGAACTAAATTCCTTTTTTTCTACTAAATAAAACAGGAAACAATGCAAATATCATATTAAAATTAAATAAAGCAATCTCAAATCATATAGGCTCTCCTGTAGCAGGTTCCCAAGTATTTGTAAACCAAGGCTTTTAAGCTCCAGAATTATCCTCGGTGCCTTGCATTCCTCTTCATCTGTGGGTCAGATAAACAGGATGATGGACTAAAGTGACTCACAGAAAAAAAGAAGTGTCTTGGTAAAACGTGGAATCACAAAGAAAGGGAATAGACATTTGCTGAACACCTACCATGTATCAGATACTGTGCACATATTTTTTTCTATTCCACAAAAAGGCCATTGAAGCTAGGTATCACTATCAGCATCTTATAGATGGGGAATCAGACTGATGGAGACCATCACAGGTGTTTCTGTTCCAGAATTAGTCATTGGAAGTGCCAAGATTCTAAGGCAGGCCAGTGTGACTGTTTCCCCATAAGGAATCAGTCCAGGCCTGGACTGTCTCGGACTAACCCAAATCCCGCCCAAGCCAAGGCAGGGTGAACAATGTGGCATCTCACCATTGCTTCCCCTCAGTCCCCTCTCATTGGCTTTTCAACACACACATGTTCTGCACAGGCACAGAAATCCCTCTCCTACTTTCTTAGCATCTCCTTGCTATTTCCTAATTCTATTTCCAGCTAATATCATTAAAAATAGAACCAAACAATGATATACCATTCTGATATAGCTGTGCAGAGATATCAGAAAGGACCGATTAAGTATTCTTGAGGAGTAACTGGTTCAGTTAAATACTCTTAAGCAAAATTCCAAGCGCACTTTCTACCTTATTGAATCACTTTAGATTAGTCATTCAAATCAACTTCTAGATATTGAATCACTTTAGATTAGTCATTCAAATCACCTTCCAGAGTCACCATAACCTCTTGAACTCCCTGTGTTAGCTGCTGGTCACTTTTTCCATCTTCCTGTACAAATCAGTAATTGGATACCAGGAAGGCGTAAACTCAAGTTCTTGCTTTTACTTAACACAAAACCATGGACTACTCAATGTATTGAAAATATTCCAACTTGGGCACTTCCTGCTATAAAGACAAGTTGGTTTTTGTCAGACCGTGCCAACTATCTGATTCCTCTCTCCCAACTATCACTATCAGGGTTTAAAAGAGAGAAATGTAAGGCAGGGCTTGGCATCTGTAAGAAATGCAAATTAGTAAATTCAAAGGGCCACAAATAATCCACCACTTTCAGGTATTACATAAACTTATTTTCCTTTTGCCTTTCTTTCTTTTTCTTTTTGTTGGTGGGGGGTTACTTCTCTGAAGTATGAAAAATGAACATGTAAAGAGATATAATGAGTATATGAACATACAGTATCGGGCACTGATAGGATAAAAATACTACTTCTCACAAAACGTTTATTTGTTTAGAATGCAGTAAACTTCACTTATTCTCCATCAGAAATCCCTATTCATCATGGATAGATGTGAGGCAGGACCCATTTTGACTTAAGGTATAGAAAAATGCAGGACTGTTAAATCCAGAACAACATTCTGTCCCTAGAATATGATATACAAAAATAAGAACACAGATGTAATATTCTAATGTTTTGATACCATCAACAATAATCTGCATTAACTATAAAATAATTCCACAGTTAATGTAAAAACAAACCATGCAAACAAAACCCAACAGACTCCGGAGGCTGATACCTTTTTCTAAGATCAGCAGTCTTTTCCTGGCAAGGACAACTGTCACATCTTTTGTAAACTGAATCTCATATTCCAGTCTTGTAGTAACTCTTCTGGTAGCAGATCTGGCAACTTTCATGTCTGATACTATGTAACTGAAACTGAAGTAATAAAATAGTTAAGTGAATTAGAAATCTTAGCTATAGAACAGTAATCAACTTTATGAAACCGGAGATTGATATTATTTAATCTTTACTTTAAGTTTTTGAACTAATTATACAGTATAACATATAAAGTTCTTTAAATAAAAGTCACAGATCAACATTCACTAATCGTTAAGATTTTTATTTATTTCTGTCTTTTAAAAAAGTTCTTCAGAAATATCCATTCAAGACATTTAAAAAAATGTCACTTGGGTACAGTGGCTACATCTATAATCCCACCACTTCAGGAGGCTGAAGCATAAGAATCACTTGAGGCCAGGAGTTGGAAACCAGTCTGGCTAATGTAGTGAGATCCCCATCTCCAATTCAAAGAAAAATGTCAAGTGCCACTTATGACAAATTATCACTCAGAGAAGCCGATAGGAAGCTACAATCAATATCTGCATACCTACCACACGCATTCAATAACTAAACTTGAGATTTTTGCCATATTTATTTGTTGCCTTGCATTTGTTCAAACACAAATGAGTCATTCAACAGACAGTGCAGACATCTACATCTTTCTGTTAATTTCCCGACATAAACCTTGCGCACATCCTCACTGAAAATGACTGATTTAGATGACTCTCCAAAATGAAAAAGTGCCACCACTTTCCACATGTGGGCAGGGCGTCATATAACCTGGGCTAAAGTAATACAAGATACAAGGGGTAAGTGGAAAGATGTAGGCTCAAGCATATGAGGAAAAACAGAAGGAAACACATCTGAAGATGATCATACCGTGCATTAAACCAGCATGCTATTTAACTGAAAAATAATTTTTTTCAGAGAAACAACCTCATTCTGTTGTTTCCTTATTTTTAATAACATTCCTGAATTTACCATTTCTTTTTTATGACAAGAAACTGAGTAACTTCCTAAAATGAACTTTATTCAATTCATCTTGTAAAAACTACAATCTTACTTAACATATAAGTTTCAAAAATAATCAAACTGCTAAAAATCCACTTAGGAGGTTTCTTTTGTATAACTGTATACGTTCTGTGTATCACTCACTAGCCACAAGCAAATGGTCTGATTTGTGATAGAAACGTTACTGACATAACTGTCTGATTCCCTCACCTAATTTTGGGTCTCTCTGCATCTTTCTTGTCCCGGAGTCTTCCTCACAGTACTGGAGGGGCCTGAGCAGCTCCCACTTGGTCATCCGCTTGTCAAAAGGGAAAGAAACTGCAATAGCACCTGCAGCTGCCACCAACTCGGGACAGGGGCTCATTTCTGAAAAGGAAAATGAAAAACAAATGAGAAAGAAGAAAGAGGGATTGCTTATTATGCCATTAGGGTACTTGTCGGTGACCAGCACTGACCAAGGGTGGGTTAGGACCCGCACCAGAGAATCTGGACAGCGAGAAGAAACTACTCGGAGGCAGTTCTTCTGGGAACAGTCTGATCAGGACTGGAGCCGATTTTATTCAAACCTTTTCCAACTTATATACCATTTTCTATACCCTCCAGCAGTGTGATAATCACTTACTGGGGGCGTACAAGTTCTGTGCTTTACAAACTATGCATCACAAGACCACCACGAGATCTGCAATTTCCAAGCAAACAATTCGAATTCCATGATGCCTGCCGTGCTTACATTAAGGTCACAGGTGCACAATTTCAATACAAATCGTTCAAAGTGTTTTCCATGATGTTCAATGAATCATTCATATTATACTCTTTGTTCTATACCCTGATTAATACAAAAAACTTTTCTAAGTTAACTCTAGGTTCAATCCAAGTTCACTGACTCCCAATATTTTTAACGATTAATATTATCAACTTAACACTATACTATAATCTATAAGTTTAGTTAAATGACTTAGCTGTTCTATTAGCCTATTATGATTCAACGTAGTGTCCTGTAATTCTATAACAATTAATTCAAATCTCATTCCTTACCATAACTTATATGAGTTTCATAAACCTAAACTTTAATTTTTATATGATCTAGTGATTGGACTTTAATACTATGCTATATCTTATTAAGCTAATACCTTATCGTTAATTCTTTTATAAATCGTATAGTAACTATTACACTTGAATAATGTAGCAAAAGGAAACAAAACAGCAAGCATAAATTTACGCAACTATGTATATATTTTATCCTAACAAGTCTACTCTAAAAATCAAATAGTAGCTGTCACACTCTTGAACAAGGAAATGCAGGGCTGCCAAGATGGCGGCCATGGGCTGAAGCAGACAGAGTTTCGGTAATTAACGAAACAAAAGAAAACGTTCTGCCTGGCTAGGGGCAGGGCCACAAAACTATCATGGTAATTTAGTTTCTAATCTTAGCCCTAGGGGAAACAGCTTTCCAAAGCTGACTACCCAGTCTACCAGGAAATAGAAGTTAAAAAATATCTAGAAAGAAGTAAAACTTAGAAAGACAGAGAGAAATAATTCTGCTATGCACTTTCCATCAGGTGTATTGAGATTTACTTATAAGTTTTACTGCCATGTATGCACACTGGTCACTAATCACACGCCAATATTATAGGTATAACTGATATCCTATGTCAGAGGCGATCTTCCAGATGGGCCTTTACAGGCCTCAGCCATGTAGCTATAGATGTTGGCTCCCAACATGAAAGGACAAAATAAATGGGTCTGTATTGTGATTTTTGAAAATAATGCAATGTCTGTTTTAGGGACTATTACTTTTGAAAACCAAAAGAAAATTAAGTTATCCTTAGTTATCCTTAAGGTGGATATTTTCTGATAGTTTGATTAAAATTAGGTACTTCTTCAGATGAATTTGGACTGCTTTTATTTATTTTTATTTTTTTGAGTAGGAGTCTCCCTCTCTTACCCAGGCTGGAGGGCAGTGGCACACTCCCGGCCACTGCAGCCTCAACCTGCTGAGCTCACTCAGGCGATTCTTCCACCTCAGCCTTCCAAGTAGCTGGAACTACAGGCATATGCCACCGTGCCCGGCTAATTTTTTGATTTATAGAGATGGGGTCTTACCAAGTTGCCCAGAGATGGGGTAGAGATGTAGAGTAGGGTCTCACAAAGTTGCCCAGGCTGGCCTTGAACCCATGAACTCAGGCCATCCTCTCACCTCGGCCTCCCAAAATGCTAGGATTATAGGTGTGAGCTACCACACCTGGCCTTTATTTATTTATTTTTATTTTTTAATTTTTTTTTGAGTTGGAGTCTCACTGTCACCCAGACTGGAGTGCAGTGGCCTCTCCGGCCACCGCAGCCTGGACCTGCTGGGCTCCGGCAATCCTTCCGTCTCAGCCTTCCGAGTAGCCGGAATTTCAGGCATGCGCTACCACGCCCGGCTGATTTTCTGATTTATTCTAGAGATGAGGTCTCGCCTGCCCAGGCGGGTCTCGAACCTGCCGGCTCAGGCAATCCACTCACCTCAGCCTCCCAAAGGCGCGGGATTACAGGCTGAGCCACCGAGCCCGGCTATTTTGTTCTTTTAGAGACAGATTCTTGCTCTGTCAACAGGCTGAAGTGCAGTGGCACAGTTATAGCTCACCTGTAGCCTTGAATCCTGAGTTCTTGCTTCAGCCTCCTGAGTAACTGGACCTCCATGCCTAGCTACTTATTTTTTAAAAATTTTGCCGAAACAGGGGTTTTGCTATGTTGACTAGGCTGGTGTCAAACTCCTGACCTCAAGCAGTCCTTCTGCCTCTGCCTCCCAAAGTTCTGAGATTATAGGTGTGAGCCACCACACTGGCCCTTAAATGTACATATTAATTTATTGCAACTTTAACAACATCCCAGCATTAAATGTTTGTTACCTGAGGGGTTGAATTCACGGAAGAGAGATCATAGAGTTGGCATTATCTCCTCCATTTTCATGCTGTCATATTTTAACTGAGTTTTTGCTGTTTCATAATCTTTTTATTCCTTTTATATTTATTCTCTAGCACATTCTTTATGTTGAAGAGGTAGTGTGATATAGTGGAAATAAATAGAATTTGTAGTCTCATGGACCTATGTTTGAATCACCACGCTATCACTTACCAGACTGTTTGATGTTGGGAAACTCTTACAAGTTCTTCAGTTAAATAATAATAAGCACTGGGCACAGTGGCTCATACCTGTAAAGCCAGCATTTTGGGAGACCTAGGCTGGAGTCTTGCTTGATCCTAGGAGTTTAAGAGCAACCTGGGTAATATAGCAAGTAGCCTGGGTAATATAACGAGACCTTGTCTCTGCAAAAAATTAGCTGGGCGTGGTAGCTCGTGTCTGTTGTCCCAGCTACTCGGGATGCTGAGATGGAAGGATCACCTGAACCCAGGAAGTTGAGGCTGCAGTGAGCCATGATCATGCCACTGCACTCCAGCCTGGGCAACAGAGTGAGACTCTCACTCAAAAAAAAAAAAAAAAAAAAGTACTTCACATAATAGCATGATATGTATATAGAAGATGTAACAGTGCCTGGCACATGGTAGAGAGTATGTTTTTCATCCCTTACCTATTCCTCTCAAGCCCTCAGGGCTTTCTGCATTTTCTCTTCCTGTCTCCATTATTAAAACAGTTGGAGTCATTTGGTATGACCTTCATCTTTGTTATTTTCTTTTTCTTTTTTTTTGGTCTTTTTTGTTTGTTTCAGAAGTATTTTTCCAACAGGGTTGTTGTGAAGATTAAATAAGATAATCTGTATGAAATTGCCTGATACATTTCTGGCCCATATTAGGCATTAAATAAAGATTAATTGGCTCAATGTAAGATTAATTTTATCTCTGATTGCCTATCTTGCTCCTCCCTTAAGTTTTATTTTCTTCTTCCACAAGTACTACCCTTCTCTGTAGTGTGTTTAATCTTTCCTTATCCTTTTTCTTTTTTTTTGAGTTGGAGTCTCACTCTGTTACCCAGGTTGGAGGGCAGTGGCATGCTCCAGGCCACCACTTTCTCCACCTGCTGGGCTCAGGTGATCTTTCTGCCTCAGCCTTCCAAGTAGCTGGAACTACAGGCGTGCACCACACCCGGCTAATTTTTTTGATTTATTTGATTTATTGAGGTCTCACCAAGTTGCCCATGCTGCTCTTGAACCTGTGGGCTCAGGCAATCCTCTCACCTTGACCTCCCAAAGTGCTAGGATTATAGGAGTGAGCCACTGCACCCGGCCTTCTCTATCCTTTTTCGAAAAGTTTTCCCTCCTAGGGGGAAAACCCCTTTTGCTTGGCCTTGCTGGCCCTCTGGCTAATACCATGTTTATTTGATTCCTTTATGGTCAGGTTTATCAGTTAAATAGTTAAGGGACTTGGTCTTCACTTTTCTACCACTGCTCTCATATTAAACCCCTACATTTTGACATACAGTAATCTTTCCTGAAACGGAAAGAGCACCCTCCCATCCATGCTCCCACAAGGCTTAAATATTGTAAGCATTCAATGAATGTTAGTTAAATAATGAATGAAATGAGAAGCTTTAAAGTACTATCACTGAGAGCCCTCTAATGCTTTCAATCAGTGGGTTTAAAGAAACCTTGTAGGAAACCATTTTACCTAAATTCAGTCTAAATGGATGTTCTTGTATAACGTGAATTTTGTTGTTTTTCTGATAAACTACGGTTTATATCAGATTCAGGGAAGAAATTTTAAATACTATGTTTTAGAGAAAGTTTAACTCTCAAGGCAAATTTATTAGTAAAGGTCTCGTTTTCTATTATTTCTTTAAAGAGAACTGAGGTCATTGTTTTTCCAGTTCACTGATAACTCAGACCTTTGCTCTTGAGCCCAGTGAAGTCAGTTCAGCAGCCATCTTCTCAGACCTCTGTTATATTCACCAGACCATAGCTGCGCAGGGTAATCATGCCACCTTTTTGGTTAATGAGAATAGCTAATATGGCCCCAGAGACATATTCTTTTAAGCAAAACAATTGCAGCTTTGATCAGTTAGATTTTTTTTTTTTTTTGAGTTGGAGTCTCACTCTGTCACCCAGACTGGAGTGCAGTGGCCGCTCCCGGCCACCACAGCCTCGACCTGCTGGGCTCCGGCGATCCTTCCGCCTCAGCCTTCCTAGTAGCCGGAATTACAGGCATGTGCTACCACGCCTGGCTAATTTCTTGATTTATTGTAGAAATGAAGTCTCGCCTGCCCAGGCGGGTCATGAACCCACGGGCTCAGGCAATCCACTCACCTCAGCCTCCCAAAGGCGTGGGATTACAGGCTGAGCCACCGAGCCCAGCTAGATTTTTTTTTTTGTCATTATAGTAGGTTGACTTGTTGACAATTAGTATTTTTGCCTTATTTATCTAGTAGATAGTATTAGTTTGCCAAATGTTTTTAGAGAAAGCTTTGTTTGATTATAGAAATCTTATCTGTTATCAGATCTTATGTAGTTTACTGTTAATTGAAAAAGTTGGTTAAAGCAAAAAAAGAAAAGTGATACATATATATCATAAGCATTTTATTTTAGCTTAAAACAAATGTACATATATCTACCAATCTTTGGTGTATTTAGTTTGAGTCTGCTGATTAGAGTTCTTCGTGTTTTTGGCATTAATGACACCCTATGATACATTGCTTGCAGCTTCTACTTAGGTTTTTTTTTAATTTTAATTTTTTTTGTTTTAAAGATATGGGGTACAATTCAGGGTTTAGGTATATAAGTGGTCATCATACAGGTAAAGTTTGGGTCTTCCTTTAGTCCTCACTTTGCCTGGTTTGAGATCGGGTACCCTTATTGGTGTTATGTGCCTCCTCCCTCCTTCCCCTGACAATGACTACTGCCAATGCTTTTCTTATAGTATAATGATAAATGTTCAGAGTCCCCTTATGAGTGAGTACATATGGTACTCAGTTCTTTGTTTCTGTGATAGATCACTGAGTATTATGTACTCTAAATCCATCCAAGTAGCTGCAAAGTCCATAATTTTGTCTTCTTTATGGCTGCATAACATTTCACTGGTTCTATGTACCACATTTTAAAAAATCCAGTCCACTTTCAATGGGTAGCACAGTTGGTTCCATTTTTTTTGCTATTGTGAAAAATGCTGTGAATAAACCTGCGTGTGCCAGTATATTTTTTATAGGGTGATTTGTATTCCTCCAGGTATATTCTCAGAAGGAGGATTGCTGGGTTGTATGGAGGTTGGTTTTTAGGTCTTTTAGGAATTGTCACACTGTTTTCCACAAAGGTTATACTAGTTTACACTCCCACCAACAGTGTAGAAGTAGTCCCTTTTCCCTGCATCATCTCCGGCATCTGTTGTTTTTTTGAGTTACTGATGATGGCCATCTTGACTGGAGATGGGTGGTATCTCAGTGTAGTTTTTTTGGAGGTTTTTTTTTGAGTCAGAGTCTTACTCTGTTGCCCAGATTGAAGTGTAGTGGCATCCTCAATGCTACCCCAGCATCAACCCACTGGGCTCAGGCGATCCTTCCGCCTCAGCCTTCCAAGTAGCTGGAACTACAGGCATGTACGATCATGACCAGCTAGATTTTTGATATATTGTAGAGATGAGGTCTCCCTATGTTGCCCAGACTGGTCTCGAACCCCTGGACTCAGGCAATCTCCTGGACTCAGGCAATCCCCTGGGCTCAGGCAGTCCTCTCACCTTGACCTCCCAAAGTGCTGGGATTATAGGCGTGAGCCACCGTGCCTGATCTACAAATAATTTTTATTGATTCATTCTTCCAGAGACTTTAGCTTAGTTTTCAAAGAAATGGCAACTTTTCTTTTCTTTTTTTTCTTTTTTTGAGTAGGGAGTCTCTGTCACTCAGGCTGGAGGGCATTGACACCATCACAGCTCACCACTGTGTCAACCTCCTGGCCTCAGGCGATCCTTGTGCCTTAGCCTCCTGAGTAACTGGGACTAAGGGCATATGCCATCACACCTGGCTAAATTTTTGACAGAGATAAGATCTTCCTATGTTGCTTAGGCTGGTCTTGAATTTCTGGGCTCAAGCAGTCCTCCCACCCTCGGCCTCCCAAAGTGCTAGGATTATAGGTGTGAGCCACTACACCCAGCCTAGCAACTTTTCTTATATTCTTAGTTTATTAATATATTTAGTGTTTCATTACAATTATGTAATTGTAATTATGAGCACAACTGGCATTAAATATGAGAACAATAGATACATCAGATTCTTTTACTCAACCAAAAATGCATGTATAATGTGTACCAAAATAAACATGTAGGCTGGGCTCGGTGGCTCAGCCTGTAATCCCAGCACTTTGGGAGGCTGAGGTGACTGGATTGCCTGAGCCCGTGGGTTCAAGACCAGCCTGGGCAACTTGGTGAGACCTCGTCTCTACAATAAATTAAAAAATTAACCCAGCGCGGTAGTGCATGCCTGTAGTTCTGGCTACTTGGAAGGCTGAGGTAAAAGGATCCCTGGAGCCCAGCAAGTCAACGCTGGGGTGGCTGTGAGTGTTCCACTGCACTCCAGCCTAACCTGGGCAATGGAGTGAGACTCTAGCTCAAAAAACAAACAAACAAACAAAAACCACATGTATATAAACTTGTACAACAGTTTTTTTCTTGTTTTGGAACCTCATTCTGTCACCTAGGCTAGAGTGCAGTGGCAAGCTTGCAGCCACCGCAGCCTCTACCTGCTGGGCTCAGATGATCCTTCCACCTCAGCTTTCGAAATAGCTAGAACTAGAGGCATGCGCCACCACGCCGGGCTAATTTTTTGATTTGTTGTAAAGATGAGGTCTCGCCAAGTGGCCCAGACTGGTCTCAAATTCCTGGACTCAGTCCTCTCATCTCAGCCTCCCAAAGTGCTAGAATTACAGGTGTGAGCCCTCACACCCAGCTAATTTTTTTTCTTATCGTGTTACATTTTTAAAAAATGTGGTAGAATACACATGACATGAAGTTTTCCATTTTAACCATTTTTAAGTGTACAGTACAGTGGTATTGTACATTCAGATTGTTATGCAACCATCCCTACTATCCATTTCACAACTATTTTCATGTTCCCGAACTGAAACTCCATCCATTAAACAACTTCTATGCCCTCTTCCCCTCATCTCTGGCAACTACCAGTCTACTTTCTGTTAAAAAAAAAAAAAAAAGTTGGTTTTTTTTTTTTGAGTCAGAGTCTCACTCTGTCATCCAGGCTGGAGTGCAGTGGCACACTGCTCTTGGCCACCGTGGTCCTGACCTACTGAGCTCAGGTGATCCTTCTGACTCAGCCTTCCAAGTAGCTGGAACTACAGGCATGTGCCACCACGCTTGACTAATTTTTCTTGATTTACTGTAGAGATGAGGTCTTGCCAAGTTGCCCAGACTGGTTTTGAACCTCTGGGCTCAGGCAATCCTCTCGTCTTGGTCTCCCAAAGTGCTGGGATTACAGGCGTGAGCCACCACACCCAATTTACTTTCTGTAAAATCTGACTAGTCTAGGTACCTCTTATAAGTGAAATCATACAGTATTTGTCTCTCTGTGATTGACTTGTTTCACTTAGCATAATATCCTCAAGGTTCATCCGTGTTGTAGCATGTCAGAATTTCCTTCCTTTTTAATGCTGAGTAATAGTCCATCTTTCCTAACTTGTTATCATTAACAAGTATTGACAGTCAATTTGTGTTGA